CAAAGACTTCGTCGTTCGGTGTCGGGGTTCTTTCACTACCAAGTTCGCCAGGTTCGAACATTAACGGTGATGGTCGGATCTTCAGGTCGACTGGTCGACTTTGTGTCGCCTTGGTCGGCTTCGCCGTTTGTTGAGCTTCGGTTACTCGAGTCGACTCGCTTCCGGTTGGCGAAGGTCGGCTCAACGGTGAAATAACCCTTTCATTGGGTACTGGTATGCTGGTCGGCGATCCAGCTGGGCGAGGGCCGCTTCGTGGCGGTACCTCGGAATCTTCCGTTCTGGTTGGTATTTTATTCGGCTGGACGGCCGCATCCGACTTCGTGTCGGTTGGTTGCCGTTCCAGGGAAGTCGGTTGCTTGTTGCCGACTTCCTTTTTTTCGACCTCTGAGGTCGGCATCTGTTGACCGTCCTTCAAGGTCGGCGAAATCCTTCCGACCTGTGTGGTCGGTTGGACGCTGCCGACTTCTGTTGTCGGCTTATCGATTCCGGTCGAAGTCGGTTGTTCGGCCCCTTGAGTTTGTGGCAGGTCGGCCTGCTGTTGACCGACTTCTTTTGCCGGCGGCTTGTCGACCATTTGTTGGTCGGCCGCTGTAGGTTGTTGTTCACCGACTTGCTTAGTCGGAGATTTTCGCTCGGCCTGTGTGGTCGGCGATTTCCTTCCGACTTGGTTAGTCGGAACGTCCATGTTGGGCGAAGTCGGCTTCGGCACCTCTTCCGTCCTGTTGGGTGAATGCCGTCCGAGCTCGGTTGTCTTTGTGACTACCGAGCCCTGAGCTCTGTGTGAGCTCGACTCCAAGTCGGTATGAGACAATGTAGTCTCAGCTTGCAGCTGTTCCACGTCCCCCTTAGTCGGGTGGGACGGGGCTGCTGTGTCAGCTGGGGCTTCCAGGAATGTTTTATCCCGGGCGTCCTCGAAACTGTCATCCGAAGTCGGATTCGAGTCGGCAAGGAGGATCCGCTCGTTGCGCTTTTCCCTTGCTTCGGCCGACTTAGTCGAGTCGGTTGAGGACGGCTGACTTTTGTCTTGACCGGCGTACCGAAGTGAGTACTTCCCGGTCATGTTCGCACGCCGAGAATAGTCCGTGTTGAACTTTCTCGCGTACTGATCTTCTCGGGGATTCGACATTGTTGTCGAGTCAGGTCGGCTCTGGTGGAGCCTTTAAAGTTTAATCAGTTAGAAAGAGAAAGTCGAACAATCTTCTGTGTGAAGATGTTCGTCAAAATCAGAAATGTCTTTTGCTCAGGAACTTCCGAGTGTCAGGACCGTCCAGTAAGATGTTGTTGTTGTTGTTGATGTGTCTGTTGGTGACTCAGTACACAGGGTATTAGTATACAGTACTATGGTACAGTACAGTACGTAATAGTAGTACAGTGTAGTACGTCCTATATTACTGTGCTGACCAGTGTGACGTAACAGGTTAAGTGGTCTTGCACTTCTGCCTACGTCACAGAATGCGAGCCGCGTGCAAAATTTGCAAAAAACGATGAATCACGCCTATGTTAGGCTATGGGAACTTTCCCCTGCACTCTGATTGGCTGAATCTAAAGTACTGATAAGCGGTCGTTATGACGTCACAAGGAAGTTCCGCAAGAAAAACAAATTATTTTAGGTCGGCTAGAAAGTTTATCTAGTCGGATTTTGAAGTTTTTAACCGTTAGAAATTAATTTTATTAATTAAGAAAATTTTCTGGTGGTCGAAACACCGTTAGAAATGAGAAATAAGAGAATTTCCGACCTGTTGTCGGTTAGCCTTTGTCTAACTGTCTAGACAGGTTCGTTGACCTAGCAGGTCGGTTCTCGACCAAAAGCAAAATTCCGAGTCGGTTTCTCCGTCGAAAATTACTTTTTCACCGTTAAAAATTTTAGATTTACGGATAGAAATTGTTTTCTACCGCTAGAAAGTGAAATGCCGACCTAGTTTCGGCTAAAATCGACCTACAACCGTGACTTTACCAGTGTCGGTGTCGGTGTCGGTTCCGCTCGATTTCCTCCGTCCGAGGTCGGGAATCCGTCGTTTCCGTGCTGAAATCCGCGAGTAAAGTTGCGGGTCGTTGTTCAAAGCGAAGGTCCCCGTATTATTGGAGTAATCCTATCGCGCTGCAGACTCTCGTTCGAGTCTGATCCGTCAGTTGGGAGAAGAAAAGTCCGTACTGTTGGGAAATGAGATTCTGCTCTTCAATGTGGAAGAGACCAAGGAACTGTGCTCACCAGCTGGGCAAGAATCACTTCAGTGATCCTCGTTTTCCTCAGCTGTAAGACGATGCGATCAATCCGATCAAAGTCAAGGGCAGAGATTGCTTCAGCAATCTATCTGACAGTGACTTTCAGGTTCCTCACAATTTCTCCGTGAATTGAGCCATCACCGTCTCCTCAAAGGGTCCGTTGAAAGAAAACCAAACGATGCTGCTTACCATGTAACAGGCAAGCGCGAGGAGATCACGAGTGATGCTTTATTGTACAAATAAAGGAACAATACTGCGTAATAGCAGGGAATGCAAGAACAAAGCACTGATGGCTAAACAAGCAAGTGAATGCTAGAAGAGCTCTTGAGCGTTCGTCAAGGCGTGAAAGAAGCAACTGGCGGCAAGCACGTGCTGTGTGCCATCAGCTGTGTGATGATGCGCAGACTGGACTCAATCCAACGCGAGCGTATGAACGCTGAGTCATACTGCGAGAGAGGGACGAGAGAGCAAGTATGCTCAGTGTGTGCGCCGCGTATATCCGCTTCAGCGGATATGAGTGCAGTGCAGCAGCACACGTACGTACAGCGAGAGAGGCGATATGGCAAGCATGAGTGCGAATACGTCCATGGTGGGCCGTATGCACCAGGCGCAGTCATGTGCCTCTGACACAGTGCTAGATCAATACGTTTGCATTTATTGGACAAAAATCAATAGCATAATTCTACTGCGGTCAGTATCTTTTGAATTAACAGGATGCTGTGTAGATTGTATATTCGCAGTCTGCAACTTCAAGTTTTGTTGTTCAGTTTATTAGGCACAAGTCCACATTGAGTATCACGTTGCTACTTCCCCGAATGTCAGACAATATTGAAAAGTGTTCGTTTAAGGATTTTATTGTTGTGTTTGATGTTGCAGTGCCAACACTTTTCTTTCTTTAAGTATTTTAAAGTTTAGAATTAAAGTGTACACCTTGAAGTGTACATCTTGAAACTTCAGCTTAATTATGTCAGTGTATACAGAAACAAAAATATCAAGAGCTTTAAAATTTTCGCGGACTGTGCACATAACGAACGCAGAATAATGTGAAAACCCGTGAAACCGGAAACGCGCAAAAAAAAGGTTAGAATTGGCAGTGTGCTGACGGTAATCCGTTTTTTAAACGGCAAGGCTTTTACAGACAGCGTTCTGAAACGGCAAATTCGAATGCTAACGGCTTTTCCGACGGCAAAGGTAAAGGTAAAGTTGAAAAGGGCAAACTGAAACGGCAAATCGTTGGCAAAGGCGTAGTTGGCCGACCCCGTTCACGTGGTAGTCTAACAGTCAGCGCTGCAATACTGCGCTACAGAGAGTGAACTGATGGTACTGGTAATGTGGTACAATAATTACTCGAACTGGTAATGTGGTGTAATTGCATCCGTTATTGATATTTATCATTTTTCTTACGTATTGCAGTCTACGAGAACATCCGCAGCCAGGATAGTTTACGTTAATCCACCCGCAGACGGCAAAGCGTTATAAAATTGGACCAATAAATGTCAAATTGCATAGTAATTCATTAATTGTTTAATCACGTGTTGTCGCCGATAAAACAGTACGGCCGTGGCAGACACGGTATTAATTTGCTGTATTAGGACATATAGTATTTCAACAGCAAGTCTGCAAATGTACCAATTTTTCAAGATCTGCGCTCACGAAGCTCTCGACGGATACAGTAACTGTGAGCCATTTCAACCGTCAAAAAGTTAAACCAAACCTTTTTGCCGGCATAATGGTTTGATTCGTGAGCTCATCAACATTTCTGCCGGCTACCGACGTTCGCTCTCGTGCGCCACGAACTGCTTTTCTGCACTGCTTCACGGTATTAGGAAGCCGAAAAATTTATTACAGTGCCGTAAGATAAGTTAACCACTCGTGCGTGTAACGTACATTTATGCCTTAAGTAAGATTTCAAAAACTAAAGCCTCACTTTGAACCGATGTTCCTGAATTGTGTTTGTAAAGCCACATCAAATACAAACAGAATAAAAACAGGAAACCACTACTTCACCTACCAGAACACCGTCACCGATTATTCGTGTAGATTGGTCGAGGAGAGACTAACATCAGAGTAAACAAAAAAAATACTTTCACCTGCTGTAGTCAAAGGGGCGGGGCCAAACAATTAGTCAAAAGTAAATAAAATAATACAATTGTTTTTGCAGATGGTTTCAGTCAGTGCTTCCGCTTTACTGAACAAAAACGATTTCTAGCTTCGTGTAACCATACTGAAACGAGGTCGCGTCAAAAACCAACAATTCACGAAGAAAAACATCAAAATTAACATCGGAATACGAAGTCAAACAAAAAACAGGCTTTTGATGTCATAAGCTTTTCTACGCTATTGCTTGCTCGTATCTACTGTATACACCAGCATGCACTCCCCACGTGGTATAGTGATTATAGCTTTTTGCCTACGTCGTTGTTCCCGCATCTGTAATTTTTTATGCAAAATAGTAGCAACTGTTAGAGTTTCGCCAAATTATTGCGATTGTTTAAAATTCAGAAACAGTAATCGGCTTCTGCAATCAGAACGACATTGCCAAAAGCCATTTAGACTTCAGCACAAATCAAATATCATTAATATTTTACAGTTTTTGATTTGACAATGCCCTGCCAGTCACAACAGATAAAAATACCTTTTATTACCACTTATCGTCAAAAAGAAATAAAATTTTCTGGTGTTGTAAGCGGTGACGGTGCCCTGGTTAATTGAACACAAACAGAAAATTTCTGAACTCATCCTCTAGATTATTACCACAACCTTTCCATTGTTTGCAGACGACATTAACTTAACGTGGCACTTGAATCAGTTCAAGATCTCATGGACGGAAATTCGATCGTACTGTCTGGATATTTTGAGTGGGCTGCAATATTTAGCAGAGAAAAACATAATCTGCGATCCGATTGCCATTCATTCGATTCGCTTATGCAACAAACATACCTGTGGCATATATCAAAGAGCAAAGTTATTTGCTATTCTACCGGTTCTGAGCAGTCTTGACGCTGACGATCGACTTCGTTTGCTCGGAAAGTATTATTCGTATTGGTATGCTCCGGAAGAGATCGCCGGCTATACTAAGGATTTCGTCCACAGGACAAATATTTGGCATTTTGGACATACACTGTTGGATATGACAACCATAATCTCTGAAGAACGGTACGTTGCAGAACCGGGATGCTTAGCCGATACGATGGGACGGCCGATAAATGGTGTTCACATCCCATACTACAGTGATCCACTGCCATGGCTGCGAAATCAATACAAGCCCTGGATTCCATCATACCTTCCGGATAGACTTCAAAGCGTCATCCGACAGTGTTTCCAGGAAGCTGCTTTACGTCCCACAGCAGCACAATTAAAAGGCGCCGATAACCCAAACGAGTCTTTGTTTCTGTGTTCCCATGCTATTCCGAGAAAATTTCTCCATTCGCATGTTTTACCGGAATTTTCCATTCGCCCAATGAGCAGCAGAGAGCTTGTCAAAATGCGAACCGGGAATATTTTGCTGTCAAATCCGGATACAACGGAGCCATCAGAAATGGTCAAGTATTTGTGGTGGACTGTTGTTCCAACTGATTTGTTAGCGGGCCCATTCCTGTTGCTGAAGTTGCGCAATTTAGATCGCGATATTCCCATGGCCATAACAATAACAAGCTCCGTTCTCTTGGATCAGCAGTTCTTTGCGCCCATTTCGGACGTACTATTGGAGCTCATTATCGCCGACATCCCAGAATTCAACTGTGAAGCACTCCAGGGTCTGCGTCTGTGCAATGTACTAACACTTCGGTTTGAAAACTGCTTCAAGGTCAAAATTTCCACAAATCACCTGATCGGCTTTATCAGGCTTATGAGCTTGGAGTTTCATAACAGTACCATTTCTGATTTTGAGATAATATCAGGGAACCATCTGTCAAGTCTGTACAATCTCGATCTGACCGGTAACACGAACTGGCCAGAGATCGTCGACAAAGATATCATCGACACATTGCGGGAATATGTTGAACGCCTTCTCGTCCATGATGCCTTTACAGCTATCCGTGCTCTGATTGAAAGTAGACGATATCTTATCATTAAGAAACAAAGTGGGAAGGTGTGGCGCTATGGCAGTGAGAAAGAAAGTTCCCCAAATCTGGGTCACCTGGATTTTCTACTTTAATGTCCATCACGCCCGCAGTTCCGTTACCCCGTCGACAAGCATCGATTTTCATTTATCTGAAAATTACTTTTTGTCCTAATGTCCTCCTTGTCTAGAGGCACGATGCAAACTGTCCGCGACTGACTTACCTGTCCAAACACACTCGGATCTGGTGACCCTATGTGCAAGAGCTCGGATCTGGCGACCCTATGTGCAAGTTTTTGATCCCGTCCCGACGTAGAATGCACGAAATAATTTCGCTTGAGGCTATTGTGCCGAAGTAGGAACAATTTGCGCCACAACAACTGTTAGGCTATTTTGCTGTGCTTCTTGTGTCTGACCCTTGCCCTGTTTGAATCAGCGCCGCCCTCTACCGGATATGTATCCTCAATTGAACACCATGTCCGTTAGCGGTTGATGTAACCGCCAACCGTTTAGAGTTGCTGTCCGAAACAGCCACTGCGAATTTTCAAGGTTGACGGTTACACGTGATTGTTAGGGCAAGCATCCACAGTTGACGGTTACATCAACTGCTAGTGTGTTTCGTACTAAATTTAACGTTTCAAAAAGACTGCGCTTTCGACTGAGTGTTGAGCACCTTATCTTGGAGTTACGACCACCATAAAGCTTCTAAAGTGCCATATCGGCATTAAGCTTTGCTCGGACAGTTACTGATAGTGAAAACTAACATAATGCGAAACAACGGATTTCTGCATAAGGCTATCAGTCAAACTTTTATTAGCTATGAATTTACAGCATTTGACACTGATAAGAGCTAGCTCGCAAACCAGATCCTCCGGTGAATATAATATTTACTATTTTCTATTCTATACTTTTGACGTCTCTTCAACAGTTAATCGTTTCGCCGTTTTGAATCCGTTAAAAGCAACGATGCCACATACAGGCGTAGAAATTTTCACTGATTGTATAAAGATAAACGGAGATTCGTATACCAAAACCAGAGAGCTTCATTCTGACATTACTTGTGAAATCGTACTATTTCATTGTGATGGTGCACGCGACCTGGCAGCAAAGCACTTTACAAGCGGACCTTATGATGTCAAGGAGGCAGAGAAGCTGTGCACTTTGGACCACCCAAATTTGATGCGTTACCATTTTGCCGGTGAACTACCAGGTGGTCAGACTGGAATCCTCAGAGAATTCAGCCCATGTAAGAAAACGTTTGCTCCATAATTTTGTTCTAATAATTTAAAAATGCACAAAAACTGCACTGGAAAAAGCTGCGGTTTTTTTACAAATTACTCAAAATCAGGATTTTTAATGGCCAAGCGGCATTATGCTGATGATACTTTCAAAGAAGAAAACAATAGTAGAAATGTAGTGTCCCTGCAATGGACGATGGCGGCCTCCTCTCGACTCTAGAAGTCTTAAAACAAACAGAATGCAGTATCGAAAAGTGTTAAACGGTAAGACGTGGAGGTTATAATGACGCTTTGCAAAGTATGCATGAACAAAAAACACTGGAATACGTCAGCGGTAGAGAACTTGTGCTTCAGCTACGATATTACTAGACGCTAACGTGAAAAAATTCACACCGAGTAATTATTACTAGGTGACTAATCCGTGGGCTAGCTTTTACTCCGTACACAACCTTTTTGCGCTACTTTTCATTCGGTTTCTAAATTAACCTCTAACACGGCGATGGCGCAGCCGCCCATGTATATGATGACTCCCATGACTCCAATTATATGAGCTTAGTGCAGTGGCTCAAGTGGCGTGGATAAACCGCTTTCGTCACTGATTTACGACGCCATTGCAAAACAACGGTTCAAGCTTTTTTAAAAATTTCACGTATCCTATAAAGAGTAAATCGTGCTTAATTGGATGAAGAAAAAAGCCGGAAAAATCGGTTTGAGGAATTTATTATATTGGGTGTTTCACTTGAACGACCATACGAGTAGCATCCGCTTTTTCATTTGAACTGATTAATAACGCCTTAGGGTAACCTGTCTTTTCTTAGACTAATGTCATATTATTTTAAATTTTTATTGTAATTCCGCAAAGTGCAGTAAATATTTATTTCTGTAGATGGATCTCTTGAGAGATATTTATTAACTGAAGGTCGAACGGAAACTATATCTCAGCTCGCTGCACTAACAAACGATATATTGCACGGCCTCGACTATCTACATAAACATGATATCATCCACGGATCCATCCATCCATCGAATATCATGTTATTCCCGACGCCATCCTTCTTTAGCGCGAAATTGTGTGACATGGAAAATTTCTCCAGGAAAGTTGCTGCTGTTAAAGCGGCGCAAGCTGGTTTTGACACAGAGTACACCAGGTGGTTCATGTCGCCGGAAATGCAGCTGTGCGGGGAGACAGCAAATCCCCTAAACATAACAACGAAAACGGACATTTGGAGTACTGGCCACGTTATCTTATATATGTTCATATTTGTACGACCGTTAATAAAGGCCAATCCAGAGCACCCCAAACGTTTCTTTTACAGGCCGTGGTATGAGTGGTCGAATCATCTCGTGCCGGACGTTATGCCATGGGAGATCTTCGATTTAATATTTTTCACAGCCAAACAGTATCCAGATGAACGACCGTCTGTTCAGGTGCTGCTTCAACAGGATGCGTGCCAAGTGAACTGGGGGACAGAACACAAACCTGTACAAAGACCTCAAGCCGATGTAACAGCCGGGGTGTCAACGTTTATCTTGCCGTCGCCTCAACAAAACGAAAATACCAAAAATGGAACGTTTGGACAGGTTACACGAGCGTGGGTTTTACCAGGAACACAACAATTACAACCGGAAAAGCTAACTGCAGTGCAACTGCAGCAACTTATGCAGAACGTAACGATAAATCATGCTGCAGTGCTCCAGTTAATCGACGTGCATTTTCAGAGTTTCTGTGGAGAAGTCTTAACATTCAGCGCCGTATACCCATCCGAGATAGGTAACAAATTTTGTTATTAATTATCTGTTTACTCACCAGGGAACATGAAGGTCCTCCCCCTTAAAAAAAATCTCATTTTTTGGAGAAAGAGTATAGGTATGTAGTTCTCTAAAAAAATATTTTCAACTGCTGTAATTCAATGGGCGTGGCCAAACGGAAATTAGAAGAACACATACGCACTATGTATTACCATGCACAGCGCAGGCTTTGTGCATAGCAGTCACTGCAGTAGGCCATCAGCATGGACTCGGGCAGCTGCACCGAGGCAAGTGAAACCGCGTGCGGTCGTCCCCGCCATCGTGTTCAAATTGCAAATTTTCAAAAATTGTTATTTCTGGATTTGGTTGTTATTTACTGTGTTTACTAATTAGTAAAGAAAATTTTCCGCATTTTTTACACATACTGTAATATTCACTGTAATATGGACTGCTATGCATAAAGCATGCGCTGTGCATGGTAATACATAGTGCGTACGTGGTATTGCGTACTCGTTTAATATGTTTGGCCACGCCCATCTTAATTACAGCAGCTGAAAATAATTTTTTAAAGGAACTACATACTTATACTATCTTTCTCCAAAAAATGAGATTTTTGTTAAGGGGGAGGACCCCTATGTTCCCTGGTCCGTACTGTAGTGCAAAGTAAATTCCGCATCATTTCGTAAAGCGTGTTAACGAAATCACACGAAATGTTCTTGCCGGTATCGAGGTAATTACAGAACTGTGCAGCTGCGGTGTAATTACTAACTAATGAATAATTACTTGCATTAATTTTGTGTATTTCCTCTTTGCGCGTGAAGTGGCTCACTAAGTTTAAAAGCATTTTCACGTTTAGCTTATTTTCGTTCACTGGTAGCGTCCACATCACTCAGATATGCCGTACTCTGAAAATATTATATGTTTCACTAGACTGTAGTACGCTTATCTTTCATTTGCCCTTTCTTTTAACAGAAGATACAAACTTGACAACACATATGGAGACCATGATGCTTTCTTGGACAGAAATACGGACCTATTGCCTGGATATCTTGGAAGGGTTACATTACTTAGAAAAGTCGAAAATTATTAGCGAGCCAGTTTCGATTCAATGCATTCGCTTGTGCAATCAGCACCGCTGCGGTATATACCAGAAAGCTAAAATTCTACTGGCGCCTCCGCTTCTCAACCTCGTTGGGGCGGAAGCTCGTTTGGAACTGCTTGGGCGCTACGCTTCCTATTGGTTCGCTCCTGAAGAACTGACCGGATATTCCAACAACTTGCTACCTAAGACAAACATCTGGCACTTTGGGCAGATTCTGTTGGTCATGGTTAAGAAAGAAAAGGGCCGCTGTCTTGTACGAAGTGACAGTAGCAGGCAAATTACTGGCGAGATGTCTGAGAATCCAATTAAAATCAGCGATATCGCCAACCCTCTGCCACTGTTGCAAGCCGGCTATCAACCACAAATTCCCCCGTACTTACCTGCTAAAGTGCAAAACGTTCTCCAAGAATGCTTTCAAGCGGCTCGGCAACGGCCCACTGCTGCTAGGCTGATGGAACCGGCCACTTCCTTGTTTACGACCGCGGACAAAATAGCGCAAAAGATAATCGCACGTACTCTGCCACAGTTTACTATGGAAGACGTGACAACCGATGAAACTGCGGCATGGGCCGGCCCAGAAAATTTCCCAGTACTGGAAAGACTCGGCTACCCCAAAGAGGAATCATTCCCCAACCACCTGATCAGTAAACTTATTCTTGAAGTGCCCGCGGGAATTAAGAAAAACGTTAATCTGCTGCTAAACCTGCGCAACGCAGACCGTGATTATCCCGTCGCGATAATAATTAGGCAACCGACAGACTTGTCTACGAGTTTGTTTTCATCCATCTCAGATCTCGTTATTGAATTAATTATTATGAGTATCTCGAACTTCAATGGTGCAGATCTGAGAGAATTGCAGCTGTACAACGTATTAACGCTTCGCTTCACCAACTGCCAAGATATTGTGATTTCTCGTGGGGATCTTGACGGGTTTAGTAAACTGCGAAGCCTGGAGTTCAACAACAGCACACTCAAATCGTTCGCTGTTTCCGCTCTGGATGCGCTTCCCAACATGTACAACCTGGACCTTACTGGCAATTTGTGCAGACAGCCGAGTGAAGAAATCTGCGACTATATTGAACGACTTCTCACCGATAAACGTTTCCGAGAACTTCGTGATTTCATTAGCAGAAGGCGTTTCTTAATTGATTCCCAACCGCAGGGTGCTTTATGGCAGTACCAAGGCCACGTTAGTGCTCGAATTTTTGGGCATTTTAATTTTTTGTTTTAACTGATTTGCGAATAAGGTAGGCTTTGCGAGGCTGTCATGCTCTTTCAGATATTCAGATACGTGCGTTAGTTTGGGGCTGCAACAACTGCCGTTATTTTTCCGGGGCAAAAAAGATTTTAATAGGTACCTAGTTATTTGCAGAATGAATAAAGTTTGATTTGTCTAACTGGTGAATTTTCTCAAAAGTATCATTACTAAAATGGGTTATCTGTACGTATAGTCTAATGTGCTCTGTCAGTGATAGAGCTAATCAAGCTACCGAAAGGGTATTCCGAATTACGTAGGCATCATTATCAGAAAAAATATTTTGATAGAATTTGTCTGTGCGAAATGTTGCAGCAGCCCAATTCAACTTGTAGCCTTCGACTGAGAAAATTTATAACGGAGGCTTTTGTGAGCAAGCAAATGGTTTCGCCGGTTCGAGGCAAAAGTGTTTTATGGACGACTTATCCGTCCGGGCGTTCGTGGCGGTAAACAGGGAGTCCAGCGCGCAACTTGGCTAGTGTTTTCTTCGTCCAAAGCTGTTTGCGGTGTATGCGCTCTTTTCCCACTTCACGGGATATTGTTATATTTATGATCAACACCATGGCGGTGTCACTAAGCAATTGGTATTTATCATTAATAACATTATTTTGGGACTGTTAGTGCAGTACCAGTTTTAGTCTTCGAACTTCGCTAATAAATACGGTGGTACAGTACACGACGAGGTTTGTCTGCCAATGTCTGACAATATCAGATCCTATGAACGCAACAAACCAATGTGAAGAAATGTGATGAATACGTTATCTTCTTCTACGTGATACCTTATCAATTATTACAATTCAGTTAGCGAGGCGCGCTCGCCTTTTCGGCACTGTGGATGATAAGGAAAAATTGAAGAATTGAACGACGGTATTCAGCGAACGGTGATATAGCAATAGCCATAAAGATTAGCAATTACATTAACATGTTTCTTAACGCTCTCATTTCTAGTAATAGCTCGATAAAAATTATTTCAGAAGCGGAAGCCATTATGCGAAATTGTATACAACATAACTGTCAGATAAGATTACAACTTGCCGCTGATGAAGCAACTCCCTACTGACATTTCACAGCGCATGTTTGCTTATTTGCTTGTTCGACAATAATACTTGCAAGTGGCAACTACTGCTTTATTTGAGATTTATTTAGAATGAGCGAGGAACGTAATGTTTGTGTCCAGTTAGAGGAACGTATAGGATTTGGCAACTACGCGGAGGTATACCGAGCTATACTAATTGACACCGATGAAACGGTAGTGGTGAAAATTCCAATCTTCAGCGAAAAAGATGCGTCCAAGATTCCGGATCGTATCAAGGAGCTTGAATTAACCTACAAAGTGTTTAGCAGTTTTCAGCATCTGAATATTGTTCGCCACCTTTATCATCAGCACACTCTTGATCGAGTATCTTCCGAAACTACTGACGCTCTCATCGAAATGCCGAAATTTCAGATTATCATGGAATACTGTTCAGGTTAGGTCGTTTTCATTCATTTGTTCTGGCTAATGATAATAACGGCACAAAATGCAGACTGTTTTGCCACGCAAGAAGTTAGATTACGCAAATTTAACAAGTTTCTCTCACATCTACCCATAAAAAGCAGTGATTGCTCCCTTGGTCTGTTCATGTTCAGCCTGTTGTAGAACCGATGTTTCACATACAGGTGGGAACCTCAGCGACTACGTTGCGCGCAACAACCTAAGCCCGCCTTTATTGCAGAGATGGATATCACAACTCCTTAACGGTCTCACGTATCTCCATGATAAAAAGATTGTACATCGTGATATAAAGGGCGCCAATGTTTTCTTGTCTAATACAAGCCCCGAAACATGCAACCTGAAAATTGGAGACATAGGTGACGTAAAGCAGATTAAGGAAGAACGTACCGGTACCAATGAGGTTTCGGGCGAACATGGCACATGCCGCTTTATGTCACCGGAAATGCTGCGGGTGGAAGTGGCCAATGTTGGACGCCGAACGGATATCTGGAGTCTGGGTTGTGTGATCATTCAGATGATCACAGGTAACATTCCTCTCTTCCATAGAGGAGATAATTTACTTTCGTCCGAGGTTTCCATTCATTACTTCATAATGGACGGAGGCTCTCCGACCATACCAACTGACCTACCTCCTGTTTTGGACAATTTTATAAGGCAGTGTCTGACGTGGGAAGCGGACAAACGACCACGCTCACGCGATTTACACGGTGATCCTCTTTTGTCGGCTACTAATGCTGCAGAGTGGAGACTCCCGAGAAAGAGCTGAAATAGAAAGATAGAAATCACTAAAATTTCTGCTTTAAACAGTCTTTGTCTTATTATTATTCATGTCATTACTGCTTCTTTTATTAAACCTGTTTACACTATCTGCGTCACATCGACATGGTAGAAGAAGTTTTTGTGACCGCTCCACCATATCAACCTACGCACTCCGCATCAGTTTATATGATATTATTATTATATAGTTTTATGTCCGCCGCTGTTGTACTGCATATTAAACGTCACGGTTATACTGCATATTGTAGTGTATGAACCGCTTCATACTTACTTTAATGGAATCTGCTGTAATGTCAAACATATCAATTGTTCCTAGCGAAGAAGCCGGCGCGTTGATTCCGGCTATCTGGGTTAAAAACCGTCGACAAGTGCGCGGCATGCGCAAAATCAATGCGAAGACGTGACTTCGAGCTTCCCGTGTGCAGTTCTGGCCGGTCCCATTAAGTGATCTTTCTGGCCCAGTTACATTTAAAAGTACCTAATCTTGGCGCTTGTTCACTGATATTGCAGTTATCTCCTTTTTTACTTTGCAAATCTTTGCACTATGTTTGTTCATTGTCGGGCCATTGCTGAGCAGCTTAAAGGATGAATATCGAGGTCAGATTCACTCGCTGTCAAGTTTTATTGACGTTATTTACTGCTTCTCCCCAAATTCATGACGTTTAGCGCCAGATTGTTTCGGCCACAAACATAGCTTGCGAAGTAGCCGCAAGGCCCGCGCGCTTAGCAATATACAGATACTGCATAATAATTTATTTGTATACCGTTTGTTGTTTATTACTACACTTTCACCTCGAACTGTAAATTTTGCTTGCTTTGTCTTTACATTACAGAAGACCTTCTTCTGTGCGAGTACGGGATGCATCGCAACGGAACAGGCGGTTGTGTCAACTGCGAATGTCTCCGAGCGATGACACTAATTCCGCCCGAAAAGAACACAAGCAACGTGGACTATGACAGCGTGCTGTCGTGCGATGCGTATTCTGGACAATGCGACTGTAGAAGCAACTACGTCGGTCGAACCTGCGACCAGTGCCCCCGGATACGTACAATAACACTGTTTTCAGCAGCGCCAGTGGTTATTGCATGCCATGTCATTGTAATCGGCAAATGGTGCGACAGGTGCCAGATCAGCTTACAAGAAAGCTTTGCACGGCGCGACCAACCGAATGCTTTTGTTGATTTATTCAAGAATTTTTGGTTAATACCAAAAACTTTATTATATAATAAAAATGCATTTTTTAAAAAAAAATTGCTGGTGCGTACTGCTTTTAGGATGATTACGGTTTTCCTCGGGCAGACAAGCAGGTCCTGAGACTTCCGCAGCGCTTACCAGTTCTTGAAATGACATGGATTTATCTCGGAAATCTGTTTATCAAGCATTACTAGTAAAATTATTATTAAGCGATGCAAAGCATATGGAATAAACATCGAAACGCAAAAATTTAGCCCCTGTCAGCAGGGAACGCGCAGAGATCACGAAAATAAGAACCTTTATTGTGGAACAACGATAAACTGAACCAACAAACAGCAAAACACCAATCTGGCGCGCTGATGAGCTATTGAATGGTGTTCGAGAAATAATTAATGTTGAGTTTTCTGTTTCACGACCTATGATATCGTTGCAGTCTGCTTAGGCGCTGCTCGCATGAGCTCGTTTTGAATAAACGCTATGAGTACTCCTGTTCTAGTAGAGGTAGGGGCCGTAGAGCTTTCCCTTCCTGCTAACTGAACAGGAATGAGAAAAAGAATACCTCCATCAGCAAAAACTGATTTCCTGAAACTCAACAAAAACTGAAAAAGATTTTCTTTCCTGCTGATTGGGCAGGAAAGAGCTATTATTAACCGATTTATTACTACTGAGCTTGAAATGTGGCCATGTTGAAACGCTCCTCACGATGAAACAAACAACGCTTGTTTCTTACATTGCGCACTATGCAGTGCCGGCATAAGCGGACACGTTTTAGGAACGGAGATTTTCCGGAAAGGTTATGTGAACTAATAAGCACATTATACAAGTGCGTTAAACGGGTCTTTGCAAACCAGCAAAATAAGCAAATTATACATGTGTCGATGCACAAATAATTATTTATGGCGCAGCATTAAGATTACAGCCGTTTGTAACTTTGTGTATGTGCCGTTAAACACCTGCTTGAATGGAATGTGGGTTTTTTTATAGCGTCAAAAGGGCACACTCCAATTTCCGTCAGATAAGTAATGGACGTACTTTTCACGGTAATGACACCAATAATATTACTTACATAATGATCTGCTCGTGGACACTCATACTAAGAGAATTCAGAAAAAGTGGCTGGCAGTCGGCATTGATGCAGGAAACACCAACTCACAGAGTTTGTGTGCGTCCATATCTGCTGAAGACGGCATGCGTTTTGATAATATAACGGGTAAAACAATTGTTTCTTGCAGTGTCAGTGTCACCATGTATGTCTTTTTCGAGTGCATTTTACGATGAACAGGTGTACAACAGTATAAAGGATATTATTTTCGTGGTTTTACAACTAAACTGTCAGCTACGATAGACTGCGCTACGCAGAACCTTGTTACTGCTACCATTTCGAGTGGTGTGACGAACGGTGCGTGCTGCATCGTTTGCCCACCAGGAATGCGCTACAGTGTGCGGAATGGAATTTTCGCATCGTTTGTGCAGCCGTTTCATTCTTTGCCACGAGCACAACTGTCATCGAAATTTGTAAACTGCTCCGTGTCTTCTGGGGGTCTTTGTGCAACTGTATTACTGACCAAGCCGACTAAAGTGTGGGGTTCGAAGCTTAAGCTAGATGCGGTGGGTTTTTATTATTGGTTTGAATCTCAAATATGTAACAGAAGCCCAACGGATTTCGTGTTCGTATCCAAGCATACTCACTGGAGTTTGGCGGAATATTTGGACGACCATTATCAGCTGCTCAAGAAGACGCGCTGAACATGCCATTTAAGAACCTTTTGGCTCTTGCGTGCCACTAGCAGGTTGATTGGTGGTAGGGGTAACGATCACGTCGCTGTCGGCTTTTGTTGTGCATTGATTACCTGAAAAGACCAGTATTTCCAGCCAGTCTTCTGTCATTTGTGCCGGTCATCGCCTCCAACATATTCTGTAGTCAAATGAGTTGCATACAATGGCGTTTGTACCGTTTCGTGCGCTAACTATCACATTGTGGAGTTAAACAAAACTGGATTCCAGAAAACTTAAAAGCAGCAGGTGTACGTTACAAGTGTTAAACGTCTAATTTTGGACTGACCTGAAATTGTTATTTGGCCTGATCGTCAAGAATTTCCTTAATGCTTTCTTTTCCCATGACTTCCCGACCGGATATTGCGCGTACAAACGGCAGCATAATATATAGATCACTGTAGTTGTTGATTGCCAACGCTCGCATTTTCAGATTGAACCTGAATTAAGCGGCAATAAGCGGCGACTCTGAGCGATAAATGTACCTGTAATTTCACCAAACCAACAAGGGAATTAATTTTTCTTAATAATCTAGTTTTCTAAATATGTATTATTATTTTTCTCTCTATTAATCTACAAGAAACAGCCTCGGCTTCGCCTCCGCGTTTCTTGTGGTCCCCAGTTTACGGCCGGTTTATTCATACGATTTCGATCAGCTGTGTAGTTAACATCTTATTCCTTCAGCAAAACAAAACGGTCCGAAAGTAGCGCTAAAACGTAGATAGGATAATAAATGAATTTACGGCTTTTGTGCACTCAGATGCATTCACTTTGACTGTGACTTTGACTTTGACTTTCAGATGCATTCACTGTTAAATTTTCCATCCCGACTCTGAGTCTACGAGGTAGAAAATTTCAACGTAAAGAAGGCTTGCAAAAGATGCTGGTGGTAGTTCGGTCATTCCATCACCTAGCGGGCTGTGTGCTTTGGAGAGTAGTGGTATTTCGATCACTCGTTCACCAAGCGGGCTGTGTGCTCTGGACAGTAGCGGTGACCGAAGTGTCACTCGTCCACACAGCCCACGTGAACGTTTGCTCTGGAGAGTAGCGGTATTTCGGTCACTCGTTCACCAAGCGGGCTGTGTGCTCTGGACAGTAGCGGCACTTCGGTCACTCGTTTACCTGGCGGGCTGTGCTCTGGACCGCAGCGGTGACCGAAGTGTCACTCGTCCACACACAGCCCACGTGAACGTTTGCTCTGGAGAGTAGCGGTATTTCGGTCACTCGTTCACCAAGCGGGCTGTGTGCTCTGGACAGTAGCGGCACTTCGGTCACTCGTTTACCTGGCGGGCTGTGCTCTGGACCGCAGCGGTGACCGAAGTGTCACTCGTCCACACACAGCCCACGTGAACGTTTGCTCTGGAGAGTAGCGGTATTTCGGTCACTCGTTCACCAAGCGGGCTGTGTGCTCTGGACAGTAGCGGCACTTCGGTCACTCGTTTACCTGGCGGGCTGTGCTCTGGACCGCAGCGGTGACCGAAGTGTCACTCGTCCACACACAGCACACGTGAACGTGTGCTCTGGAGAGTAGCGGTATTTCGGTCACTCGTTCACCAAGCGGGCTGTGTGCTCTGGACCGCAGCGGTGACCGAAGTGTCGCTCGTCCACACACAGCCCGCGTGAACGTGTGCTCTGGAGAGTAGCGGTATTTAGGTCACTCGTTCACCAAGCGGGCTGTGTGCTCTGGACAGTAGCGGTAGTTCGGTTTGTACCCAGACAATGGAAACGGTTTTTGCTGATTCTATACGGGAAAGCTGCGTTCGTTTATCCCTTTTTTTTGTAATAGTAGAGATCTCAAATGTAGGTGCCGTATTACTATTCCGTATTATACGGAATAATTTACGGACTGTATATGCTGATTAATTACTTACTGTTCTTAGTTTTGCTCGGACTGCAATGAAAGGTCAGCCCGTGTGAACGATTGCGATGGTCAGTTTCTTTTACAGCTGCCTACTAGTGGCTTTTAACGAGCGTTCTTATTCTTAAGTCATGGTTTGAGCGTTTATAATTGTTAACGATTTATTGAAACGAAGCCATCCACTAGCAGCATCGTTTTGTTACTGCTAATATTATTGATTTTTCTAGTTTTGTAGGAGTAAAAGTTTAAATCTTTTTAAATTGCTGGTCTAAAAAGGTACCAGTTTAATTCTACTGATTTTTTCACCATGCAACCGGACTTTGAAATTATTTTCAAGGTCACCTTGAGCTTTTAGCTCTACCGGCACCGGCACGGGAGCACGGGAGCCAGAGGGAATAATTTTTGAAACAAAATGCATGTGACACAGTTTCCAGACATGCGGAATCGAATGGCGTTATCAGCTTTTCGATTAATTTTTTGGTTTGTTCTGACCAGATCGTACGGGGTTTTCCGTTGTAATATAGATCTTTACCTTGATACTCTGTAGTAATCATATGTTTTAATTTGTTTTACTTTTATTTCTGAGAAGTTGGCTAAACCGACCCGCGCCTGACCTCGGACTTGGACTCAGACATAAGCAGATATTTTTTTTGACATCATAATTATTAGGAATTCGTGATTTGCTGCGGAGTGGCAGACAGCCGCCATGCTCCGCACGCCAGTACCCACGGGAATTTCGTAGTGCGTCGAAAGAGGCACCGTGCATACGCTACGTAACACGCGAAGATGGTTGCACATTAGACGTTCTGTACAGGTAAAACCATGTACAGGTTTTAATTATAATACATCGCCGATTCGCCACACGATTTATAAAGCACATTACACTTTTTTATCGAGCATGTCCTCATCTATTCGTTGAGGTTTGCTTTCTGTTTATTTGCAATAATTGTCGCAGTAACAAACATCATGTTTTGACTTTTGCGGACGCGTTGTATAAAAGTGACATCGAATGGCCGTGTTCCTCTGGTTCTACGATGACTTCTCTTCGTCTTTTAGGCATCTGGCTTCCAACCGCCCCGAGGCAGCGTGTTTCTGCAAATCAGAAATTAGGAAAACTCAATTACTCACCCAGGGTCAAAGTACAGTAGCGCCGACGCAGCTTTTCTTCAGTGGAGTTTGATAAGTTTCGTTCTTGTCTTTTGCCTCGTGCTTGCGGTACGTGACTGTTTAGTTTTGTCTGTCAATAAAGGCTGACGAAAGTTCCATTGCACCCGTTCATGAACAACAAGATTCTGTCTCTTTTCTGATGTTGTTTGGGTTTACGGAATACACCTGTTTCTGGGTTGCTGAAGGTTCACTTCTGCCTCCAAATTGTCAAGAATGCAACTGTACGAAACGAACGACCTGTATGAGCACGGAATGCGGTGGATGTGGAGATTGACACGCGGGTGCAGCACGGTTACGTCAATGTGGACCCAAAAAAAGTTGTATAGGAAGTGTGCCATAATACTTACTACAACACTACACAAAACTTTAGTGGCTACTAAAGACTACATGGACTACGGGTGGCTACACAAACTACAGATACTACAAAAGAGTTTAGCGGCTACAAATAAGGGTCGGATAAGACTACATGGAACTACTGGTGGCTACACCAACTACAGATGCTTCACAAAACGTCAGCGGCTACATGAGACAAAATGGAATACTGGTTACTGAAAAGACTAGAGGTTGCGACGAAGGCTACATTTGACTACGGTGGCCAACGGGACTACAATCCAAGAATGTTGATCCAAAAAAATAACCATATACGGATTGTGCCATAGGTGTTAAAGAGTGTTCGGCTAAAGGTCAACGTTTTGCTGCGCGATACATCGTACATGTGCTTGTGAAGTACGTGAGACCGCGATGTCGCACATTTCGCATATAGTATAATAGCTGGGTCGGCCAACTACTGTAATACTGTAGTGTTTTGTAAGAGCCTAACAACGTTGCAGTATTTCTGAGAGTTTGTCTGTATGTTTTCTTTTACATACAGTAACATACAGTAATTAGTCTGTCATCAGTCAATCTTAAACGTATTGGATGCTTTACTGCTGTTGGTAAAAACGCAAAAAAAGACCAGACACGCATGAACCATGCTTGTTGCCTGAACTTTCATGCAAAGAACTACAACGACCCTTATTGTAACGAGTACAGCAAAAGTGAACAGTAGTTATCTGATGCTCCAAGATGATCGAAAATAAATTCAAATAGCTTAACGGATCTTGTGTGGCAGTGTAATGCTACTTTACAAATGAAGTACAGTAGAAAAAAGAAAAAGAAAGCTTTAATATTGAAAAAAATAGGAAACGCGCTTACAGCTGGCAGTGATTACTGTTAAGATAAGGCTGTAGAATCCTCATTGGCACTGGGTGCCTGGCGAATTTGTGTTCGACGCTTTGCAAAGCCGCATTTCGCCTCATTGGCATAACATTCACCTAAACATGAGTGAACGATTCATAGCAGCAGCACCCGCTAGCATAAGATTGTTCTGCATAATTCTGTGAGTGTGAAATGGTGTTGGTGAATTTCCTGCAAAGAAATAAGTGTTTTTTTGTTAGTAAATCTTCTATGCAAAAACTACAAAGTACGCGCACGCTTGCGTGGATTGTGCAATGAGTCACTGACCTATGCCAATATAAGTCGGCTCTTCCGGTGATAGCGCTGCAGCCGCTGCTGCCTTAATTATTACCAGTTGATGACTCAGCAAATGCTTTGCTTTTGGTCGCTCATTGGCATGTGGTCGTAAGCACTGGCTTAGAAAATCTTCGGCGGCCTTCAAGAACAGCTTGTCATCGTTACAGTTCTTCCTCCCGAATTTTTTTTCGTACCACGGTTTCTCGCCGGCCATGAGTGCGGCTTGTATTTCGACGGGTCGCAAGAGATGTGCTAAATTGCCGCTAGTTTCCAGACGACAAAAGCGAGGAGGATGTCCCTGCAGCATCTCCAGTAGGACACACCCGAGCGACCAGATATCATATGCTCGGCCGATGCTACCAAACTCACGGCGGAATGCTTCAGGCGGCATATAAGTTATCGTTCCGTCTCCACCTTGCACTTCATACGTAGCCGTCGTGGAAGCGGCCAGCTCTACCATCGATCCAAAATCGGCAATTTTTACTGTTCCATACGTGGAGAATAATATATTTTGCCCTTTCAAGTCGCGATGGAGTATTTTATTTTTGTGGAGATAACAAAGTCCCTTCAGAATTCCTCGAAAATCTTCAACGATATCCGCCTGCTTGTAGCGTTTGCGCTGCAGGCTTAATTGTTGGTTTTTCTGATTTAAATTACCGCCTGCAAAAATGATAACCATAATCCTCCAATAAGACGTTTGCTCAATAGTTATATAGCACTTCCCTGTACGGTCCTTCAAGTGGACGGCTATAGTATGTGAATGAGCGACGGTTGTTTATATTGACCACAAAAAAAATAAATTCCAAAACCCGATTTTCGTTCGCTTTTTTTCTTCATTTGATTAAACACGATATCCCTTTTATAGATTAATTGAAATTTTAAGAAAGCTGGAACAGTTTCGTGCAATTGTGCCTTAAAGATATCGGCGGCAAAAGCGCTACACCTAGAAAAATGTGGTCACTGCCATACATAATACCCGTAAAGCTACCGTCTGACTGCCAAAACTTGTACGAAAGTGGAAATGCGTATTTAACATTTACTTGATAGTACAGCAAGCGTGCAGCTAATCATTTAACGACAAACGGACACTTATATTTTCTTAATTCTCGGCCAGTTAATACACTGGAGTGACAAACGCTCCCTGAGGCGTAATAAATGCGACTGAATCCGATTTTATTCCTAAATAGCAAAATTACTGTCTTTTTAATTTTTATTAAGCTAAAACGAATGAAGCAGCTTCTGATATTGGGACGTGCTTTGTATAACCCATTGGCACATATAGGGGGAAAAACAATTCTAGCCGAACCAGTCCCTTGTACTTTTGATGTGAGCCAGCTGGTGCTTTACGTTGTGGCTAGACAGTGTTTTATGTAAAGCGCTGCTACTAAGGTTGTGTGGCATTGACGGTACATGTGGTATTACCTGCACCGGGCTATATTTTTTAAGTGCAGTTATAACCTGTTTACCTTCAGATGTACGAGTACTGCTTATTAATTTTGTTACCAGTACCTGTAATTTTAATAGCGGCGGTGTACATAAAACGCTGTCTAGCCACAAGGTGAACCGCCAGCTGGCTCACATCAGGAGTACAAAGGACTGTTTCGGCTAGACTTTATTTTTTCCCTTGTATAATCCTTCTTATGCGCGCTAAGAAACCGGTTGGGAACCGAAGGGCTCGTTGTAAAACAAAATATGATCATAAACGTTACAGGGTCTTATTTTTTGTCGTGATGTTTATGCACCTACCTTGGCAGCACTCCATTAGAACTCGTAGCTCGGGAAAGCTGTCAAAATAGACAATGTCCACATAAAAATAGTTAAGGACATTCTCATGGGCTTTCTGGTTGAGTCGTAAAATTGACTTGAATTCCTTGATGCCCTGCTTTAGGATGCGGTCGTTGCAGGCGCTGCCTAGTGCAATGCATTTAACGGCGTACACGGTTCTATCGGTTTTAGAGGTGGCTTGAAATACTCCGCGGCTTAAACCTCCCTGCCCGATTTTAGTTCCCATAGCGTACTGGAAAGGAGGTCGGTACTTGGCGACATCAAAGTGATTGATTAAGTGCATACAAGTTTGTCCGTCTACGTTTGCGGCCATGGTACTTGTCATGTAAGCCTGGTGCTGATAACCGGATTGTGGAGGTTTACACACGTCGGCAAAAAGAAACGACCAAAGGTTTATTCTGAGCAGACAGAGACTGATAAAGAAAAATTAATACAAATATATCAAATGAAACAATTTTATGGGCATAAATGAACTCGCAATCGGCCAGAACATACAGCGACACTAATTTAAATCACCACAAAATATTTAGATATTTTGGTGATCCTTTTTTTACACAGTAGGGTTGCTGCTCAATGTCTTCGTAAACAAGAATACATACAACTATCGTTTTGTGGCAAGCGTAATGAAAGCACTAGCAATTGCCCAGAGCATTTCTCGGCCTACTTTTGGACCGCAGCTCCATTGTACCGGCAATAAATAACGTCTCAAGTTCCGGCTTGGTAGGTGTTTTGCCAGCTGAATGTTGCTGCTGATGCAGTTAGGGGTCTTTTGTATGATGCACCGTGTTTTGACTACTAATCAATAATCTAATAGTCAATGATTATGGATTACTAATCAGTGATTAGCACTATGGTGAATCACACGAGATTAGTCGGAGCCGTGCGCCGAGGCACAATGCAGCTCTTACAGCAATTTCTGCTTTGCCATGGGTTATGATACCGATATTCTTGGTCTTGCGGTGTGCCCAACCGGCATCAGTCGCAACAGCGGCATCAGGTAGCCCAGTCGTTTGCATTTAAAAATAGTTATTTTTAATCACTAGTACTAATTACTACACTTTTGAACTGTAAATTCCACTCGCTTCGTCCTCCACCTGTACTTTACAGAAGACCTTCCTTTGTGCGAATACGGAATGTATCGCAACGGAACATACGGCTGCGTCAACTGCGACTGTCTCCGAACTAGGACACTTATTCCGTCCGAAAAGAACACAAGCAAATGGACTATGACAGAGTGCTGCCTTGTGACGCGTGTTCCGGACAGTGCGATTGCACAAGTAACTACGTTGGCCGAACATGTGGCCAGTGTCCACCAGACACATACAACAGCACTTCAGAAATGTTCAGCACCAGTAGGGTCTGCATAGCATGCAGTTTTAATCGTGAAGTGGGTAGAAACACTACTTCCAATGCTTTCACGGCATCGCAAAAATCCTGCATGCGATGCGATGCAGTATTTTTATTTTACCATGGCACACGAGCCTTAATTTTAGACTTTTAGTTAAACGTTGTGGATTTCTAACTCTGGACTATCACTGTTTGTGTTCTCGTACCATCCTTAGCACGAGTAGTATACTGGGATTTGCAAATTTGCAGAGCTGTAGTAACACTGGAATGTGAATGTCTATCTCTTCGTGATTACGTGTTAGATTTTTATAAAGCTGAACTAATCCGTTAAGAAGAACCGAAACATTTCGCTGTTGATTACTGACCCGTATCTGTATTTTAATGACCTGCAAAGCAGAAAACCGGCATGGCCGGAATGGCGCTACGGAGTAAAAACATGGATGTCATTTTGAAGAAAGGGATAATGTTACCAAGTATGGGTTGTCCACCCAAGGAAAAGCATACTAAAATTAACAATGATACGGACACTCATACCACTTTCACTTTATTTGCGCGAGATATTGTTTAGTAATTTGTTTGACATGATTCACAAACCATTGATTAAACCAGAAACTTTTTATGTTTGTGTATGCATTTGAAAAATAAACTTGTGTGTTAATTTATGCTCCAGTTTGTGCAAAATGAAATTTTGTGCTTTTTTATGAATTTGTTTATTTATTCAGAATGAACTTTTCTGTATATTCTGCATGAGTTTATACATTTGTGCAGAAAAATATTTTGTATTTATTTATGCACAAATTTTGCATTTATGCGTTTATGCATTTACACAAAATTATCCTTTCCCATTTATTTATGCACGAATTTAGATATGCAGTTAGATATGGCCGGTTCGTGAGCGGAGTTTATATATGCGGCAATTAACAACCACACATTTTGCTTTTTATGTACACACATTCACCAAAATTATTCGTTCAACGTTGACGACATAACAGTCGTGTTTCACCAGCCAATTAGCAACCAACCCGCTTGTTATATACCCAGTATAACAGAACGTAAGAAGACCACAGTAGGCACCGGTAGACGTGATAACTGTTATGCGTTGTGCAGCACCAAGCGGAAAACAAGCCCAGTATTACCCACAACCTTGTGCACCAATATTATTTTACTTACTGCAATCATGGTACCTGCTTGTCTTGTTTAGAAATGGCTTATCGTGTATGGTGCATGAACAGTACTCCCGTTCGAGAGAGCAAGCCAAATCTGCGTGGCAGATTTGGCAGTTTATCGTTGCGACCCAATCGGTCGTTTTTCTAAACTGTGGAGCAACATTGTATCCGCCCGGATCCGAAGACCGAAGGACAAGCGTCTTGCGAAGCCGCAGTCGACCATCGCCTGTGTCCGGCGCTAAAACCACCCAGCGAAGCCATCGCTCGCAGGTTCTCTCATATGGATATATTTGACATTTCCCTGTGCTCAACTTAAGTCCAAAAATAGCAGCCGGTTTGCCAGCTGTACAATATATGCTCCAACTGATTCCAATTGCACGGCCAATGACTAAGCTGGCCTACGATTTCGAAAAAGCGTGCAATCTGACGCATAATCAACAGTGATTTGTTTCTGTATTGAATAAGCTGAACACTGTAGAGTGTAGACCGGTGGTGAATGTTGTTGCAGCCTATGCAAGCAATGAAAAGCATTGAGTCCGGGATGACTTCCCTTGGGTCCGAAAGAGTGTCATCGTTGATCTCCAAAAACGGACTAATACCAGCTGTGAGGAAAACAGGGTTCCCAGATGTTGGATAAACGGGTTGAGGGCACTGACTGACGCAGCGCTGCTGAAGCGTGCCTTAACAGCAGCCACTCGCCACGTTATCCTGCGGTGGCAGCTGGACTGTAGTCTGCCAGAGCCGGGAATGGTCATACGTCAGCGCGATGACGATCTGGACACGCGCATTTACGGATTCGGTTGGTCTGGAAAGTGTTGTACGGATTCTTTGGGGCAGACAGCGCCTTTACAGCCAACCTATCAGCGCAGTGACGTTGCAAAATATTATACTCTACACTAATAACATCATGGTGATTCCCAATGCTTTTGACCGGGTGCATTGCGATTGCGTCCAGATTAACTACCATGTTCAGCCACGCTCCGTAGATTAAAATCCCCGGCCAGTTCTCTGCGCATTGAAGTCGATCAGAAAACCATCGCCAGAGAGGAGATTGATCCCTTCCATGGTTTTGGTTTGCACGAGATAACGTTCCGTTACCTCGTGCAAATCTCTTCATACTCTTCAAACTTCATACCAGGTCCGCTGTCGCCAGAAGAGATAATTGCAGTTAAAAGTGAAAAAGGAAAAATCGGCTCGACAGCCAGTCCACTCCACGACTTCACTCTTGGTAACCGGCATATATAGACCGGAAGCAAACTCTCGCATGGATCCATATTGTTAGCAGCAGCAGTAAACTTGGAATTTGAGATTTCCACTGATTACACCTTCCTGTGGGGTCTAATCTCAGACTGGGCCAAGATTCGTTGCACACACAACATACTTTCCATTTCAATGCCGCCACGTGGTTACATAAAAGCAATAGCCTTGCTTGTCCAGCAGTTGCCCGTCTGTTCAGGAGATGCTGTATGCGTGACCTTTCAATGTGAAATCCCTGCTGATTTCCAATAAAACGTTGACATGACATCGTTCTTACGGGAACATGATCGTGCTGTTCTTCCCCGTTTCTTTGCGGTCCCACGATCGGGAGACAGATGAGCCTTTCGTTTGGGAGCCATTGTAAATCAGTATGCAGTGGAAACTTTCGACTTTTTATTTTAGTAAGCAACTACACTTATTTTAACACTAGTACAGTAAAACCTCTCTTAAAATACACTTCTTTATTAAATACACTTCTTTATAACATACAACCTGTAAGGAACCGAATTGGCTCGCATGTTATAGCATAGAGGGGATTCTCTTTATAGCATTCACCTCTTTATAAGAGATACATACACCTCTAATGCTAGATCCAACTGTGATCCAGATACGGAGACCTAAACGGAATAGATCCCGTGGAAGCGAGCGATACGATATGGATCGCGAGCTATGCGGAAACACAAACGTCGCACCGTAAATCGCTGACTTTTTAATATTGAAAAGCCTGGAGAACAGAAAAATCAATAATGATCGGCGCAGCTCGATCGTAAAGCGTGGAGCCCATTCAACAGTGTGTAACACTGTGCAGCACGTGCTATGCCGCGCCCACCAACACAACTCAAGCCAATCAAAAGAGTCACAACACAGACACGTAATCCAAAGGCGTAGCGCCACAGGCGTAGCGCCACTGACGTGAACGCTAGTGATCCCGGTCTCACATGCCTCTGGGGGGATGCCGAGCTCCTGTGAGGCTGGGCACACTCCCGGATCCACGAGAAGACGACGGTCGCCGGTGTCTGTGTGCGCTCAAAAACATCAAATTCTCTTAATCCGTTTATCATATCACATCAATTCCATAAGGCACAATTCCATTTAATACGATGTGAATAAAGAGATCCAATCAATTTAAAAAAATACTATCAGAAAACAGATCAACAGTTAAACAGATCAACAAAAGTATTAATCAAAATGTAGACTAGGATCCTCCATTTCTGACTCGTAAAGGTCACAGGTCCTGTCCACCGTTTTCCGCACTTTGGCCCATTCCGCTCTGTTGAGCAATCCTGCGCATCCATAATGCGACTTTTCATCACAATCCGCTTGAGAATCAGGTGCGTATCAAGTACGACTTAGGAATACTGCTTCAATCTTTGGAATATGGTGCGTATCAATTGTACGACTTCAAAATGAGATCCATAAAGGTCATGGAGGGACGTCAATGAAGACAAGCGTAGTCCGCTTCCTCCCTGGTAAAGGTCATCCTTTGTTTTGATGATCCGTTGAGATGTGCGACTCATTTTGGGTTAATGGTCCCAAAGGTCATGCGACTTTAATTCAATTACCGGTGACTCTGTTGGGCAATTGATGATCCCAAAGGTCATCCCACTCGTCAAAATTTCCATTAAAGGTCATGGAGGGACTTAGCCAATTTCCTGCGGCTTTCAAGCACTTCTTCGCTTGCCTCCCTGATAAAACTTGCAGTTTGACCTTTCCGTCGCACATCCAACTTCAGTATGCCTCGAGCGGCCAGAGTGCCGGCAAGTTTACCGTAGCATCTCTGATGGGGCCGGCTAGTTACCGCATAGAATTTACCCCATGAAATTTCCACCTTAAGTCTTTTACTCTTGTTCGCCGCTTGTGGCTAACATCCATTACTACGAGAAATCCGGCTTGATTACCGTAGTTTTTCTCGTTTTAATTTTAACACTGAATCGCTTGAAAAGAGTGCCGGCATAGTTTACCGTAACAACTCTAATGAGGCCGGCTAATTGCCGCATTAAGTTAACCTCATCAATATTCCACCTGTTGTCTTTCTCTTTTTCGCCGCTTATGGCCCCGTTTCGTATCCAAGAGATCCGGCTTGATTACCGTAGTTTCTCTTGTGCATTTATAACACTGAGTCGCTTAGAGAGGAGAGCCGGCTAACTGCCGTAACTACTCCCTTGGGGCCGGCTTTATAGACCGAATCAATTTCAACCCCAATAGATATTCCACATGATTTCTTTAGGCAATTCTGTGCTATAAACGCTGCAAACAACAAATACACAAATACAATTAATGTTAACATGTCACGTGTCACGCCCTTTATACAACACCATTTTTATGTTTGTGACGTACCGACAAAATGCCGTAGACGTCCTTCGATAGTGTGATCCTAAAGATCAACACTATTCCATTTCATTTGAATCGCCCTCGCCATCTCTCGGCGGGCGTTTCTTAGCGCTTTCCGGTTGGTTTCGATCGGAAGTTCGGTCAACTGGTTCCGTCGAGTCAACTTCCATGACCTTTGTCGGGTCAACTTCGCGCTGGCCCCGACCTTTACCTTGGCGACTTCGCTTAACCGCCTCAAGTCGATGGCGTGCGTCATTTTCTTCGAGTCGCAGTCTTCGGTTATCAGGGTCTTCCGCCAATCGACGCTGCACGTCGGCGAGATTATCCCGCAGCTGTTGGTTTCGGATGCCGCGTCGTCCCATCTGGTTAGGCGCACGGTCTGGGCGACGGTCACTTTTCTTCACTAAGAATTCATCAATGTAAGTTTCGATTCCGTCCACCGGTTCGACGTAATCGCTTCCCAGAGAATCTTTGATCTTATTAATCCTTTCTTCTACTTGGGATGCGTGGCGCTGTGTCAAGTTGCCCTTTTCCATCCGTGTCTTACATTTCTTCAGCGCCTTGCGAGCTGTATGCGCTATGCTGATATGTTCCATTGGTTGTCCCAATTTAGCGACATGAGCTCGGAAAACCGGTGGAATGTCGTCCTTCATGGTATTAGACACCAGTTGATTTTGTGTCTTGTAATGTGCCAGTCTCGCAGCGAAGACCTTTTGCCCCATCCTTTTTGCGGCATAGTCCTTAGGATCCACCTGTAGTCCTATCGATGCCCTTGCTGCAAGCAACTTGAAAGCTGGATTCACATGTCGTAAGACAAACTGAGCCACATATTCTTGTCGTTCGGGATAGTCTCTGTAGTAGAACTGTGTCATCCCGATTGGGTCAGTTGTGTCCAGCGGTACATCCAATAAACTTAAATCCACCAAACTGTGTAGCCCATTCCGTCGGATAGGGAGATAACAGTCCCGTACTGAATCGCGGTGGATGAATAATCGACGAAAAGTTCCTTGTTCCACTCCCTGTTTAATCTCTCTCGCATAACCTGAGTCAAGTAGGAATTGGCTCAACTGTCTCAGAATTGTGAGGATCTTGTTAGCTTCGACCGAATCCGATTCAATACCAAAGTATCGACAAATTTCGACCGTTTGCTCATCGATATCAGTCGTGTTGTATTCCATATCAATACTTTCAGGACGTCGGTTGTCAAATCTGGAGTTCTGTCGCTGATCACCCTGGCGATAATTATCCGGTTCTCGTTGACCTTCCAGTTCACGTTGTTCTCCTGACTCAGGCTGCGACGGTTCGTTACTCGCCGGTTGTTCCGGTTGAAGGTCACTATCCAGAATTACATTTCGTCGATGGGTCACATTCTCTTGAGACGTGGTTTCGACAACTGAGCCAGTGCCTTCCATCGCGTCATCTTCTTGTACGGCGCTCACAATTGGATCCACAACGTGAACCACTGACTCCACCCGCTGATACTTTGGGGGTGAATCTTCCCGTTCAGTGCTTGATGACCTTTTACTTGCGCCCGAGTCAAAGGTCGCATAAAATGCGGCTCTCTGTTGCCATCTCTTATCCTGTGGGTCAGGCGTTCGATTTCGCGTATGTTCACGTCTTTTATCCCATGACCTTTCGGGTGTTGACATCCTGACGTTGCGATTCCGGAATGCAACTCCCATCGGCACCTGATGCCCTTGTTTTTCAGGCTCTGTACGGAACGTCTCCGCACGCCGTTTTTCTTCACGTCCTCTTGTGGTTGCCAAGATCTTTGCCGTATCGATTTTCCTTTGAATACTCGTTTCTGTAACTTCGTCTCCGTGGCGCACCCATCCTCTTCCGCCACGGTAATCTCTGTCATGAGAGCGTTCGCGTGATCTTTCGTTGCGGTAGTCACGTGTCCTCTCACGAGAGTGTTCGCGTGACCTTTCCCTCTGTCGTTCAGAAGTTCGCTCATATTCTCGTGAATGTCCGCGTGACCTTTCTCTATGCGGGGGCGAACGTGGTCGTATAAAGCCTTCGTCCCGTTTAAAATTCCTGAATGCCTGCAGCACATCGCTTTCAGTTCGGCGAGATTTACGTAGGTCATCCATACGTCTTTCGACTTCCTTCTTTATGTAGGGTGCCGGCGCGAACCCGTCTTGAAGTCGTTTCTTCTCCCGCAACAGCATTTTGAATATCTCGTCTGACATGGCAGCTGGATCTTTCGTTATCGTTTCAATTTGTATGATAAGTGATTGTCGTACAAGTTGCATTTCGTCTTCGTTAAGGCTGGCCATGCCCGTAGGTGCAACTAAACTCGATGTGCTGGGCAGCCCCTCTCGTGCAGCCTGTTCACTTGCTCTCTTATTTTCCGCATTAATTTTCGCGCGGATTTCGTCTTCCATCTGCTGAGCTCGCATCTTCGCTTGGTCTTCTTCAAATTTCTTCCGATACGCGTCTGTCTGTGGACACTTCAACGGCTCCAAGGTGTCATCCCAGCCAGGTTCGTTGTTTCGGATCGCTTCTCGATAACGATCTTCGAATAGCATTCGCTCTTCTACTGGGATGCTGCCGTAATTTCTTGCGCTTATGAGATTTCGAAAAACGTCCAAGTTCCCACGTTTGGCTTCCATAATCCCAACAAGCGTGACGGTATGTGGGTCTTCCAGCTTGTGAATACAAGTGTAGCAAGGGAATTTCTTATCAACCTTTTTGTTGTTCCTTAAGCAGTCCGGACACTTTGGATTATAGCCCGTAAACTGATCGATGTCTGCCGCCATTCCCGAACGTTTAGAAGGGGCTTGACCTTTTTGTGCCATCTTTCTCTTCAATCTGCAATTATAAAACAATCCATCATAGTAACCTTTTCGACGTTAATCCTTCCCATGTTAAGGCTTTCTATCATTTTTACGCCTATTCCGTTACTGAGCTGAGACTTTCCTAGCTCCTGCTATCTCTCACTGTAACGCGGTGACCTTTCTCACGTTATCAGCACTCTCTGACTACTGTGACCTTTTCTATTAGTCCTATTGCTGCTTTCAGTTGACCTTTCGTAACACTTTTCCTTTTCGTTTTAAATTATTTTATGCTTTTTCTGTAATATGCAGGGTTCATTACTCGCTGCATACTACACTCGATTAGTTCACTCGGATTCTTTCGTCGATGGTTTATACGGCTTGAAATCGATTCGGCCATCTGGCTTAATATGAAGCACTTCGTCCGAGATCAAGGCTTCAACGGCATTCTTAATCCACTCCTTATCGCTTTCAATATTCAACTCTCCCAATTCATAATTGACGGCCATGAAGTTCGAAAGGTCATTCCATGACGCTCCATTTGTACCGCCGATGGCGTCCAAAGCCACGTCTGTGAAGGCTATCTTCCAGGCCTCCAATTCCATTTTCAATCTGGGCGTTCGTTCCTGACCCTGTTTCGGAAGGTAGTAAACGACTTTGTTATCCTTATTGTATTTACATCCCAGCTTTCCTTCTTTATATGCTCGTTTCAGAGCTCGTTCAGTCATGTTGAGTGACGACCTTCCGTTTGAATTTATTGCCACTTGTCTCTTCAGATCTGTACCAAGCATCTCTTTTTCTCGGATGATCTGGAGCGCGTTCTGGACTTCGTTCCATGTACGATTATTCACGTCCAATGCCGGCCCTAACATGTAATCTGTAGCCTCCTTAGCCGGTGTACCGCTACTTTTCTGGGAGGATGTCGAGTCCGTTGGGTCAGCCGTCGCTGTCTCGTCGATCCTCAGCTTTGCCAGTGATCCTGATGATGACCCCGCCGATTTTGGTTCGGCTGTCTTCTTCTCCTCCTGTGGCAAAGTCTCTTGACCTTTTAAATCGCCGACCGACTTCGATCGTTCCTTCTCAAAGACGTCCTTTAATGGTATGAACAGTGATTTGTGAAACACCTGGCGCGCCGAATGCGCTTCAGCTTCTGCCGCTGCCTTATCCATCGGGAGCATGACCTTTTCTTTCTCCCGTTTATCTGACGTCTCATGACCTTTCGGTTGATCTTCTGCGGTAGTTCCAGATGTTTCTTGTTTGGTAGCAGATCGTGGTTCGAAAAAGGATTGTTGCAGGTCCTTTTTGGAGGTACGCTCTGGTACTTTAGAGGTCGGTTCGTTGTCTTGTTCCAGTGACCTTTCTGCCAAATTACCAGCCTCTGCATTCAACTTGATTGTGACTGCTGTTTCGAAATCCTTATCCTCTTTCTTCTTTCTTCCTCTTTTCTTTGTAAATTTGTTTTCTTTTTCCATTTCAGGTAGCGGAGGTGGTTCGAAAAAAGGTTCTTTTTGAGGAGTATGCTCTGCGCCCTTATCCACTTTTTCCCTTTCAGGTAGCAGAGGTGGTTCGAAAAATTGATTGGTACCATTTTTCGAAGCAAGCTCGGCTTCTTCCGTTTCTTTTTCGTTCAACGTCCATTGTGAATCTTTCTCGTCGGGTAATGGCGGATGCCACGGCTTTAACCGATCAATGGAAACCACTTTTAGATCCGCTTCCTTCTTCGGATTCTGCTCGATGACCTCCGCTTCGTTTGTTCGCGGGAAGCTAAGAATTTTCCACACTTTATCGTACTTCGACTTGAAATCCGACTGGTTTTCTTTCTTCCCCTGTTTAGTATCTTTTGGAAGTCGTATAAGTACCAAATCGCCCACTTTGAAATTCGGTCTTGATTTCTTCTTATTATAAATTTCCGCATTTTTCTCATATGCGTCTTTGATGTTACATCTCGCCACTTCTTCGGCAAAGGTCAAGTTCTTTTTCATGGTCTCCACCCATTCGTCTGGAGTTCCGTAATCATCGGGTATATTCGTTTTTGTAACCACATCTTCCGGCATTGTCATTTCTCTGCCGTGTAGCATATAGTATGCTGAATATCCCGTTGTGGCGTGCACGACTCTGTTCATCGCCGAAATAACATATGGGAGATACTTGTTAAACTTTCGCTCATTTCCTGCTTTTAGGTATTGCGCCAAGCCATCAGCAATCGTCTGCATCTGTCTCTCCACTTGGCCTTGACCTTCTGCGTGATACGCCGTTCCAAATGTGTGTTTAATTTTAAACACATTGGTGACCTTTGCCAATACTTCAGCTGTAAAGTGTCGTCCGCGATCCGTATGCAGGATGTGCGGTGCTCCGTGTACCAATATCACGTGCTTCACGAACACTTTAGCGAATTCTTTGGCCGTTGCCGTTTTCATTGGTACCGCAATCACATATTTCGTCAGTTGATCAATAAACACCGCTATGTACTTATATCCCCGTTTCTTGGTCGGTAACAAAGGTCCTTTCAAGTCAGCATATACTCGGAAGAACGGATGTCCCACTTTAATCTCTTGCAGTTTTCCAGGTGGACATTTCCTCGGTGTTTTACGGAACTGACATCCTTGACAGGCGAGTATGTAATTCTTCACGTCTGTACTCATCCTGTCCCAGTATTATCGGAGTCTTATTGCTGACAATGTTTTCTCAAATCCCAGATGTCCCGCTGCTTTCTCGTCGTGCAATGCGTGGATTATTGCTCTTCGCATTGACAACGGAACAACATATGACCTTTCAAGTTTTCCATTTTTATCCTTTACTCGGTATAATATACCATTCCATAACTGGTAATGCACTTCAAATTTCGATCTTGTTTCCGCGTCTGGTAGGTGTTCCAATTCGTCTATGATCATTGCCAGATGGGGATCTTTCAACTGTTTATTCCGCAATTGCAAGTTTGAGTCATCAACCTCTTCTTCGTCACCTTGCAGGTTGACAATGCGAACTGTCGCTGTACTGAGTTCATTCCAATCCTTGATGACCTTGCATCGTGGTAACGGTTTATACCGCTTTTTCGCCTGTTTTGGGAATCTCAACAGTTTGATTGGGCATTCGTTCAACGCTTGTGCCACTTTGTCCGTTTCCCAAAGGTCATCTCTATTCTCCGCTCTATCATCAAGTCCCGTGACCTTTCCATTCTGCATTTGAGATTCCGCGTCAAGTCCGGTGACCTTTAAGTCACTAACGGCGGGCAACCAGCTTCTCACTCGGTTCACTTTTGCTTCGTTTTCAGCCGACTCGTTCGCCGTAGCTGAAGTGACCTTTAATCGTTTCTCCCTCTGTTCCACCATCTGCAGGAACAGCTGTCCAACTTCAATTGCCGGTTCCTTCGTATCAAACTCCTTCTTGTAATCTTCGAAATTCGGAATCTCATCAAATTCTTCTTCGTGACACGTCGGGCCTTCAATTGGCGTTTTGATAACGCGTCCGCGTTGTCACAATATTTTCCCGGTTTGTATTCGATTTTAAATTGGTGGCCTTGTAGTGCCATTGCCCATCTTGTTAAGCGTGGATTCATTCCAACTTTATTCGTTTCTGACCTTAGCAAGTTGGTCAGCGCCTGATGGTCCGTCCTTACGGTGAACTCGGCATAATCGATGTACGGCTTGAATTTCCTGACAGCGAACATTACTGCCAGACATTCCCATTCTGTTACACCGTAATTCTTCTCCGCTCCATGTAGGACGCGACTCGCATACGCAATTGGATGTCCCTCTTGTGACAACACAGCTCCAATTCCTTCTTTACTTGCGTCGCATTCGATTACGGTCGGTTTTGCAGGGTCAAACTTTGCCAATACTGGACCTTCACATAACAGTTGTTTTAGACTGTTGAACTCTTCTTCATGTACTGCTGTCCAGTCTTTTTTGACATGTTTATCTTGTCTCAACAGTTCATACAAATGGCTCGTCTTCTGGGCATATCCCATTATGAATTTGCGATAGTAGTTTGCCAATCCGAGGAATGACCTTAATTGCCTTTCAGTTTGAGGCCGTTTGAATTCCGAGACCGCGGTGACCTTTTCCGGATCCATTCTGATTCCATCTTCGCTGAGTATGTGACCCAGAAATCCCATTTGTCTCATTCCGAATTCGCATTTCGTTGGCTTAATCGTAAATCCCGCTTCAACTAGGCTCATTAAGACATTTCTCAAATTCTGCATAAAAATTTCCCAAGTTTTTCCAGCGAAGATAACGTCATCAATGTACCCGAAAACACAACCCTTTCTTTTTGCTTTCGACAGTACAGAGGGTTATTCAGCCAAGTGTGGTCAGCGCATTAAAAAAATTCCTATAATTCAGCCGTAGCGCAGAGTCAGATTCTAATAATTGTTCTATTATGACAAATTTGTTTTGATGCTTTTGCAAATTTTTGTGACAATCGAGCTTAAACAGCCCGCAATATTAGCTACTGACCTAAAGACTCCGACTCTAAACCTTTGACCAGGCAAAATTTGGCTTTCGATGATCTGGCCTTAAAAGGATCGTCTGCTTTTCAAATCTGGATGGTTTTAATTGTAAAAAACGACGATCCGAATATTTTTCATAACAAAAACGATTCCATATTCTTGCGCGTTCTTGCGGTAGGACGGTTGGAAAAAACGCGAAAACAGGAAGACACTCGCAGGAGCCATGCTCATTGTGCGAATTCTTACTCACGGAGCTATAGCTATCCTTTTCGTTCCTCCACAAACTAAAGTTGTAACGCAGGTCTTTCTTCACCATTTACAATGTTCATTGGTCGAAAAAGACGCTCCGCGGATTAAGCCTGGCAGAGAGGAAGAAGTCATCCAGAACCAGAAATGTGCTCCCGGGAGCACTGCTGAGAAAACAAGGATGTTGCTTCCTGATCGAAAAAACTAGCAATTCCTTCTGAAAAAGGATTGTTCGAAACCCCTGACAGGTTTTCAATGGATTATGGCGAAAACCCAAATTTTAAATTAATTTTGAGTAAAGGGAATCCATTTCCTATAGCTGAACTGGTCAACTGTTGCCAACA